AAAATTTCAACTGTGATTGTTGATTTACGACAACAAAACTTTTTTTCTTAAAGATTTCAGAAAAGTGTGATTTTGGTGTTTAAATGATCTTTAAACAATTTTTTTTAAAGTCTTTTGTTATTAGAAATGCTACTGGTTTTTCCAAAATTTACAGGTTTCTGCTGTGAAATTGAATTAGTAGTCAATACCAGCAGGAACAATGGTATTTCAACTTCTATCTGACGTAATTTTGAAAGCTTAGCAAGCAGTAATAAGCGTCAAGTTTTAAAATTCATTAATTTTTGTATTACTTTACTTTGATACTTGTATTCCTCCTGCAAAACTATCACTTTTCCAAATTTTATTGATCTTCACTTTATTTTACTGTATTTTAACCTAAGCTTGGAAAAGCTGAACAAAGGCGATTATGATACTGTGAATAAGATAACCAAAAATTGATTTGAGCCAAGAAAAATTTTTGATTGGTGTGCACTTAAGTTCTTGAGACCAAAAGGTGAAATATAATCTTTCTAATCGGTGTATTATCTGGAGAGAACAGCATTTAGAAAAAAAGGTCTCTTAGAGTCGTCCATCTGAAAAAAGACGATAAATTGTGCTGCTTTTTCAGACTTGTCAAATCATGATTTGTTTGGAACACCTATCTTGTTTAAATCGTACCAGAGCAGTACTTCTCAAAGCGCTGACAGTCTTTTAGGTAGTTATTGGGACACAACTAAAACTTAAGGTGGAAATGTATTTTCATGCCTTTTAAGAAAAGACTTGAAGAGCCAGGAGAGAGAAAAAACCAATGTATCTTATCCTTTTTATTTAGTCTAAGAAGGCTTTTAGTTTCTAATAACATATTACAGGCTAAAATTTGATCTAAAAAATATAAAAGCTATTAACTGTTGAAGAGCACACAAAAAACAAAGATTTTTTTAAGGAAGTAATTTTGAGCATTCTCTGTCATCAAGATTTTTCATTCATCTAAATTTTCTTTTGGCAAACGATTACAGGATCTGTGAGAACGCCGAAACGAAAAAAGATTTATTCCATTATTACATCCTGTTACGGCTTGGTTATGATATAATGCTTTGTTTTTGCGAGAAAACTTTAATATAGCCATAAAGAAAAGTCGTCTGAAGCTATTTTGCAGTTAATAAAGTAGTAAATAAAGAAATGCATTTAGTGAATCGTTAAAACGATTCTTATAGAATCCTAACACATAGGTCATCAGCCTAATTTTGTTTCAAACGATTATCCTGATGTGAAAGGCTAAAGATGGCAAAAGAAAATTCGGCAACAATGCAGTAAACGAAAATAGATATCCTTTGTTAATTGATAGGCTTACCTGTATAAGATTAAATGTAGTTTTAAAATTTCACTGCTGTCATAGTCTGCCTCTTATTGCCTTATTCTCTTAGAGTTTTGCAAATTTCTATGCTCAAGTGTCTAAATTGCTTTCTAAAATGTTTGCAGATTATAAATGCTGTATTGCTATTCCCAGAAAGTTAGAAAAGATTGTGATAATAATTTAGCAGTTAAAATACACTGTTGAATACGGTTTCGTAGACAATGATGAAACAATTGAAAACACTTTCTTTTACATCT